CCCTAGCTGCAGCTTCTTCTTCAGCAGCTCTGGAGGACCCTTCTCCTCCTTCGCAAGCTTCGAGAACCCGTGCAACCTCTTCGGCTGTACGGGCAGCTTCAGCTTCTTCGTCCAGCAGCTGAAACCAGGGGTCTCTCTTCTTCCACCAAGGCTTCTGCCTCTGATACAGAGCAACAACCTCAATTTGGAAGTGGGAAGAGTCTAGATGAACTTCCCTATGCCTCGGTTCAGTGATAGACGGGGCCCGTTCAGTTACAACTCGTTCTCGGTTGACACCAAGACGAGCGTAGTTAATGCCAACGTTGGTCTCGTCCCACTCTGAAAAAGAAAAAGGGAAAGGTCAGTTCAGATAGGTTGGCACATCATAAAAAAGCGAAGCGAGAGAAGAAAAAGAGATAATTAAAAAGCCTCGGCCCCAGCCGAAGAAGCTTACCATCCTTAAACTTTCGGCTGAGGCCAACAGCTGCTAGCATGTTCTCTTGGAAAACATAATGCGTATCGGGGAGCCAAGTCTCCGGGATATGCTGCATTCGGCCACTGCCCCCCGGTTCGGCAGCTTGCCGAAGATATGTTGTTGATCAAGGTTCGGATCCGCCCCGTTATCTGCGGGGGGACCTAGACTTCCCATTTCGGGATCATGCTCGGCAAGGTATCGGGGAGCGCTGAAGACGCAAGGGTGGCCCGGATCTGTGGGTGCCCTAACCCAAATCCATTGACCTCTCCAGTCCTTGTCTGAAGAGTCGTTTGGCCACATGGTTAGGTACTGGGGCCGGGACTCAATCCGGTACCACCCAGAACCATGGCTTCCGTGCCCACTTTGAATATTTGGCACTAGCCGATGAAGCTTTTTGAAGCAGTGCAGGTTCGGCACATACTTGAAGAACTTGCAGACCCATAAGTATGTCATCACCCTTCGGATGCTGGTGGGAGTTAACTGACATAGAGAGATGTTGTAATGGATCAGCAAGTCTCGGACGAATACGTCCAAAGGGAACCTCAGCCCGTACTGAAGCTGTCTTGTGTACACCCCCACATACCCCGGGGGTGGACGATGGATTCTATCGGATGCCGCGGGCATTCGGCACCAATACCCATCAGCTTCAAAAATGTCGTAATGCAACTCAATTTGCTCGGCAAACCGATATTGATCGGCATTCTCCACCCACCATGAGTAGGGGCGGTTCTTTATCATGGCCGAAGCAACTTCGGCATTCTCCCGCTCTGAAAACCCGGGGAGGATATCCCAAAGGACAGCGGGAACTTCATCATCCCGTCCAGAAGCGCTCGGCCCCTCCGTTCTCTGAGGAGGAGCCGAGGAAAGGGGAGTCGCCCTAATTCCTTCAGCAGGGTCAGACTCTGGCCTTTGTCCATTCCAGGTCCCAATCCTGTTCCTAGGATCGGGAATCGGCCTTGCTCTTCTTGGAGCACGGGCTCTACCTCTAACTCCTCTTGCCATTGATTATTTCGAAGAAAAAAGTCGAAAGAAAAGGGGAAGGAGTTCGAATTCGAAGAAAAATAAACTGAAATCAAAGGAATTTACCTTAATCTGAAGCGAAAGTTGCCGATTTACGAGTTCGTAGTGGCAAGTCTCAGTTTCTAAGCTTAATGCTCGGGGAATTTGCGAAGTTTTGATGCGGGTTCTTGGTTTCTCTCTCGAGAATTCTGGGTTTGTGTTGGTGAATAAGTGAGGAGAGATGACGCGCCTCTGTTTATATCTCCAGGAATGGGATACGAGGAGTCTGCGTTTCAATTTCTCTTAAATACTCCACTAAGTAACCGTTAAACACATGATCTTGTGATTAAACTGCCCATTATCCGTCCAACTTCCACAATCATCCGCCTTAACCGTTGTTATCTCATTAATTACGGTTTAAATTCAAATTTTTGGATTAATTAAATCATTTACTTCCCTCCTTTTCTGAATTAAATCAAACCCGACCCGTCATCCTTCCAAATCGGGTCTGGGGGGCAAGTTGTTTGGGTCCAATTTAGTCCAATTGGGCCTAGGCATTAAATGATCCAATTAAAAGCCCAAGGTCAAGGTTCAACTCTCCAATTGTGCTAAAGTCAAAGGTCAGCCCACAAAGCAAGCCAATTGGGCTAAGGCCCAACCTCTCCATGTATGAAGAGGTATAAAAGCCATCAATATTGATACATTCATTATGTTCATTCATAGATTCACATACATTCTCATAGATTCATATATTCTCATACATTCCATCAAAGCCTCAAGCAACAAACTCTCTTGCATAGTGTTCTCTTTCTACACATTGTACTGACTTTAGCATCGGAGGGGCCTTCCTCGGCAACACCCCCGAGGCTAGTTTACGTGTGTTTACTGTGCAGGAAACCTTCGGCCCAACATAACTTGGACCGAATCCAGTCTTCTCCGTTTCATCGGACCTTCGGCAAGGTCCCATTGTTTTCACCCGAAACAATACCTTTAATTTCTTAAGGTTTTCGTTTATTTTGACGGCGATGCCATTAAAAATGGCAGTGTTTGAGACTCTTACCATGTTGTTTGAGTATAGGGGCGGGTTAGACTGATGGGCGTGACAGTGAAAGTTAATGAGGCAGAGGAGAGAGAATGCTTGTGACAGAGAGAGGTGGGTCTTCTCTTTTTGGTTTCGCTCCTCCATTGTCAAAGTGTTCTATGTCTTTATCTTTATTTGATTTGGCT